AAAAATCAAGTTTAGCAATTTTATAATAGTTAAAGGATATTTTCGAACATTTTTATATTATTTTTTTCATAAAGTTCTTAGGAGCTGCTAGATTTATTTAAAATGGTATTTACTTATTGTGTATTGAAATAAAGTTGATATGTGTAAGTTTTTTAATGCTATTATGTACTATATATCTATATTTCTCTATATATTAAAAAGATTTTCTTCTGTAGTTTGTTTTGTAATATGGGGTGTTACTTTACAGGGTATTTAAGAAATAAAAAGATCAATTGCATTAAAGAAAAATGATTTCCTTGATTGTAATCAAGAAGATTGTAAAAAGATATCTTGAGTTTTGTTTTCTGTCAAATTAGGTTTAATTTAGTTAGAGGTAATTCAGTCAGTATTTCTGTCTTAGTATAATTCTATTGTGTTTTTATTTTATGCAAAATCTGAAAGTTTTGTTTTCTTTGTTACTATTTCAAAATAAAGCAAAACCTCCAAATCATTTGACCTAGTTCTGATAAATTTAAGATGGTATCAAGTCTTTCATTTAAAATTCTTTCCAGGTTAAAAAAAAAAAAGGCTCTGAAGTTACCGTAACCATTCAGATAACAAAAGTGTAATCTTCCCATTAATTATTAGTCTTGCAGGCTCTTAGTAAACAATCCAATAAATTGAAAGAGCAATGCCCAAAATGTGTTACTATGGATTAATATATCCAGTCTGAAACCTGGATAGCTAAGTCTTATGAATATAAAGATGTGAAAAATGTTATGTAATGATTCCATTACATAAACTAACAGACTCTGCATTCTTGTTCTATTAGACATGTAATCATCCACATGTTAAATACTACAAAGGGGTAACAGCCTCCATCAAGTTTCCTTATCAGCCCTCAATGAAATAGCCCATAAATCTGGGGATTCTCAGAGCAAAGCAGCAGCACTGTAGAGGGAAGGTAAGATCTCTTCCACCAGCTCCTTCCTTCATCAGTGTGTAACATTGCAATATTAGCCAGAGCCTGTAAGATAAAAGTATCCTACCCTGATCACACCCAATTTGATTTGCGCTAACTTGCTATATGATCACAGACCACAAAGAAGGTTGAAGAAAGTAAATTATCCTCGGATCGTTTTATCACACAACTTCTAGAGTATTGGGGAGCAAATAATAGGGAAGCCATCATTTTTGCTGTGGAGGTATTCAGTAAACCTTGTGCAAGGCAGTCACTACATTTTTGTGACAGATGAATATTTGCATGAACAAAACGAACAAAACCCCTAGCCTCCTAGCCTCCATTCCAGACTGCACGGAGAATATATATTTTCCTGAATGTAAATTTCATTGATCTGAAGGGGCAGCTACTTGTGAACAAAGGTATTCAGATGGAGTCTTCTTGCTTTCAATGGGGGAGTAAAGGACATGCCTAAACTTCATTCTCTTAAGCCAAGGAAATTTGAAAGTTTTGACTTTTGGGGCCCGTTAAAGCACCAACCACCGGCCCAATGAAACTTTCCAATGCAGTTCACAACCACACGTTTCAAGTGTCCTTTTTTTTCCCCCGATCCCGCTCCAATTGAAGTCATCGTTGCCATCATCATTTATTACATTTATAAGCCGCCTCAGTCCGAACGGACGACGGGTTAAGAACCCTGCACGCTTATGCTGAAGTTTTCAATGCGGCGCCTTATTCCATCTCATCCTCGCTTCTCTTCACAAACCAACTTCGCGCGAAATATTCTGGTCCAGAGGCCGAGCGTCGTGCCAGCCCAGGAGCCCGAAAGTGCGAGAGCGGCGGTGGCCCCGTATGGGCGGCCCAACCTGCAGGCCTGCGGGAAAGTGGAAGTGCCCCCAACTTCAAAGGCCGCCTAGCCGCCAATCCTCAAAGCTGAGAACAAGGAGGCTCGCTGGGCGCCCCGCCGCACGCAGCCCCTCGGCCGATCAGCATAACAAAAGCAGCACGCTTGCAAATTTGCCCCGGGTTTGACTGAGGCGTTCGCAGGGCCTTTCATGAGGCAGGTCGCCGGCCTTGCCGCCTTTGAACTGGGCACCGGTGCAGGGGTCTTTTGTCACCCCAGAATGTTCATTTGCCTTCGCCTGGGGAGAGACTTCCACTTTCCCACCGCGTCACCCCGGGGTACTCTTAAAAACTCCTTTCTCGCCCTGGGTTCAAGAGTTCAGCGCGGCCGCAAAGTTAGAGGCTGGGTTTCGGCGCTGGAAAGATCCAACGCTCCCGAGAAAGAAGTTGGGAAGGGAAGGAGGCTATTGCCTGAAGGGGGGGCGGGTAGCAACGAGGTGCACCAGGCTTGGCGGGAAAGTTGTTTCGCGCCTTTTTTCTGCTCAGAGACGCGAGCCTTTTAGGACGGAACGTATCGCCTAAAATGCGGATAAATTCCTGTCGTCAGAAAATGCAGGGGCGCTCATTTATAGTCACCCGGTTTGGGCATTTAAAAATATTGAATCCCGTTTGAAAAAAAAACATAAAAGGCACAATGAACAGTATGTCGGTTCTGCAACATTCAGAACTGATTTTAGTTCACCATGCTTCAATCAGCAGTTTCTAACATTTACTGTAGTGGTGTTGAGAGAAGCAAACTATTTGAATGTAGGCTGTCTTAAAGTCAATGACAAATAAAATGACAACATTACAACATTACTACATTATCTTTCCATTCAGTTATAAATCCCAGCTTTATAACCAAATTTACAATAAAAAGCAAGCTATCTATTAGCAGGTATATAGACATTTCTGCAAAGAATCCTATTTTATATTCATATTAGTTTTTAAAGATGAAAGTAGGAAATCAGTTCATATGAGAAGAAAACCCTTTACAAATCTCACCTTTTTATTAAAAAAATAACTGAGCTGAGATCAATGGAGCTGGTTCCCATAAATAAGGGCCATTAAATCACACACACAGTTGCTGTTACTTCTGTCCCATAAAAACTTAAGGTGCCATACATTCATTAGTTGAACCTATTTATTGTGCCATTAGCTTTCACTTCTTAAGAATAACATTGGGGGAGGGAGCAAATCATGTACTGATAAGCAACTTATATATTCACAAAAAAGTACTTGACATTTTCTTGTAGTACAGGAACATTACTATCTCATACACTAACTGACACAAAGATGCCATTATTCTGTATTCCCAATAGTTTTTAGATTAGAGATCTATCACCAGTTATAAAGTGAAAGGTGGGGATATAACCTTCTGAGAAGTCTAGAGAAAGTAAAAATGCAGCTAATAGGCAACAACTATTCTTGTGCAGATGCTTAGATGTGCGCAGACACACAAGGACATTTCGACAGAAATATTAATCAGAAAATAGAAGTTACCGCCTTTCCAAATACTGAATTCTACCTGAATTCTTAATAATGGAACAAGAAGTAGTAGAAGATTACATATTTTCATATTTTACACAGTATACACCATACTAAATGATAGGAAAGGGAGAGATTTTTGAGAAGATTAACATTTGCCCCAGGGCCTAAGGGACATCCTTGAATTATTCCCAAAGTTTCCAGAATGTACACTAAAAGCTTCAAAGACTGTACAGGAAGAAGAATAATCCAGTGGCATAATACTGCTGGATATTAATGTTAATGGATAACGCTGGTATTGAAACATACATCAATATACACCTTATCCAAGCTATGGTGGTGTCACCATTCATCATATTGAAAGGGGTGCAACAAACAAAAACGGCTAGAATGAAATTTCATTGAAAACAGTAGAATTTGATAACAGTAGCCATACAGAATAAAAACATTAAGTATACAGTTTCATCAAATTGGAAACCAATGAAAGACAGCTGTACTTTGATGAACACAAAAATGAAGCAGGCAGTTATGCACAGTGACCTTTCAGATTTTCCCAAAACTTAACAAAAAAACAAATCATTTTTATTGTGATCTCTTCCTGGCTGATTTGCTAAATCACACAGATAAGTGCAGACAATTCCCAAAATTTTCTTTACCAGAGCCTTCACAATCAGTATTTGATTTTTTTTCCCGTGTCAATTATCATTCTCTGTAGTTTACTACAGCTTTACTTGATGAGAGAAAAATTAACTTGTGACTCAGTGTCAGAATCATGTTTGACAATGAAACATGGAAAGACTTAAGTAAAAGGTAGTTCTTGGAAAGTTCTAGTCATTCCTTTCAGTGTAGATTAGGGAAATATACAGACACATACATACACAAACAAACAGAAGCCCATGTACTCTATTATATTTATTTTTATATATTACTCACTCTATTTCCTTGAAACTCCCCCTTTGAATGTAGCTCTGTAACTTTACCCTGTACACTATAACCCCTGCATTACAATTCCCATTTTGACAAAATATGTGAACAATTGTGAAAACTTATACTGACTATAAGGTTCATTTGTTCATTTGTTCCAAATTCTATCCTGATGTAGTCATCAACTGGGGAGGCCAGAGCCAATCACAACATGGGATGATATCTCCTCCATTATTGCCCAGTCAAGCTGACTAGAATACTATCTACCTATTCCTAAGGATCAAGGCTATTTTGGCCAGCAACCAGCTTTCCTATGGCTCCTATCATTTTAGCCGTGGACTGAACCAGAAACTCTTTGCTTGAGAAACAAAAGACCCTTTCCAAGTCATGGATTCATCAATCGAAGAATATCCATGTATAACTCCAGGGGTCACATGTGACAAATTGTGTACAACTAGCAAACATTGCACAAGTGGAATTTCTTTCTGTGTAAGGAAGCCACCTCCGAACCTCCTGGATCCTTAGCCAATCTTGCAAGTATCCCTCCCTTTTCGTGTTAAAATGTAGTTTGACCACAAATTCTTGTGTCTACAAGTTGATGGGGAAAGATAATGGAGAGTAAACGCTATAAAGTGGCCGGCTCAACCCTGCCGAGAGACGCGAAGGAAAAAGTCGTCAGACCGTAGAGACTTGCTCGCCTCCCGGCCTAAAAGAGACCCTTCCCCGAAGCCAGAGACGGAGGAGAGAAAGAGAGACAAATCCTTACCACTGTTGCTGCTAGTGGGAACGTGGCGCCTCATCCACTCATAAGGCGTGCGCCTTTGCGCGTTTGGGGAGAGCTGGGGGACTGGGGCGCTCATGGGCGGAGGCAGTAGTCCAGAGCCGGGTGGCGGAATTGGATTGAAATCCGGGGGGCTGTATCCTAGCTGCCCCGGACTGGCGACAGAAGAAGGGGCTCCTGCGCCGTAGTGCCAGTCCTCTTTAGGCGGGTACGGAGAGCCCCAGGTACCCGCGGGCTGCCCCTGGTGAGGATCGCTGTTAATCCCGGGCATGTGGTGGTAGCTGGCAAAATCCGAGTACTGAGAGGGCACGGGCACATAATTTGGGGAGGTGAGGTTCAGGCCCGGGTGCCTGACCGGGTTGGGGTACATGTTGGTGTCCTTATCCAACAGATAACCCACATACATCATCCCCAAGTAGCTCAGCGTGCATAATGTGCCCGGCGCCGCAGCAGCGTCTTCCCTGGCTTGCCTTTGCCGAGAACTCCCAGCCTCTTCCTGATTAACAGTTCACCTGAACTACTTGCTCAGGTTTTTTTTTTTTTTCCTCCCTTCCCAACTTCGCAAAGGCACCTCCCTGAGGAAAAGCCTTTTTTTTTATTATTGGGCCAACCTCTCGGAGCATTTGCATTGAAAGGCAGGTTTGCATTTCAAAGTCCCGGAATCAAAGTGGAAGCCAC